CACCAAAACATCCTCACTTTCTTGTGCTACCTTAATAATTATCTGTATTTTTTTTTCCTGCTGCCCCCTTTCTGGGATGTGATTTCCCTGGTACCATTTAGTTTGTAGCTTGCTTTGCATACCTTATGGGGGAGGGATACACATTCTTTTGCTCAATATGTGTAAGGTCTCAAAGAACTTCCTCTGTAAAGCCAACATGTGTTTGCACTCTAGATGGTGGGGGGTCTGTATTGCATAATAATTACTAAGACCCTTGCCATCCTAACCAGAGTGTTCATCAAACCTGTTCTCGGTACCCAACAGTCATCTACAATTTCCTGGTATCTGTGCTTTAGCATGTGTGAGTTAAAGAGGCACTCTAAGCTCCTTAAGCAATACAGCTCATTATCCCATTGTACAGTGCTGCGGAATGTGTTGGCGCTTTATAAATAATAATAATAATAGTGGTTAGGGTGCTGTGTCTACATATCTCCCAACATTTCAAATAGACAAAAAGGGAACAGCCCCTACATCATGCTCTCCCCGCCCTCCCCAGCCTCTCCATCATGCTCTCCCCCCTCCCCAGCCACTCCATCATGCTCTCCCCTCTCCCCAGCCCTTCCATCATGCTCCCTCCCATCTCCAGGCCCTCCATGATGCTCTCCCCCTCTCTAGGCCCTCCATGATGCCCCCATCCATCATGCTCTCCCCCATCCCTGCCTCTCCATGATGCCCCTCCATCATGCTCTCCCCCATTCCTGCCTCCATGATGCCCCCCATCCATCATGCTCTCCCCCATCCTCCCTGCCTCCATGATGCCCCCCTCCATCATGCTCTCTCCCTCCACTGCCCCATCCATAATGCCCCCTCCATCATGCTCTCTCCCTGCCCCTCCATCATGCTCTCCCCCCTCCCCTGCCCCTCCATAATGCCCCCCTACATCATACTCTCCCATCCCAGTCCCCTGCCCCTCTGTGATTCTTTTCCCCCTCCCCTCCTTATCTGCTCGTCGCACGCCGTTCCTAGTCTGCCAGGAAGTGCTCTCTCAGTGAGCACTTTCTGTCAGACTGTGCACTTGCTTGGCCACGCTGCACAAATTGACCGGCTGGAGGGGAGCACTGACATACATACATACATACACACACTGACATACATACATTCATACTGACATACATACATAACAGCCCTGAAGTGATGTGGGTGGCCCATGGTCGCAGGGGTTGTCCGTGCGGCTGGGCCCCCTGCAGTGACAGGGCCTGGTCGCAGTTGCAACCCTTGCGGCCATTGTAGTTCCGCCACTGCCGATGATCCTGATTGGGGGGACTGACAGCTTCAGAAGAAAGTTCTTTATTTCTGTCCATCTTTGGCCTGTAATCAAACCCACATTTGCTGATGCTTCAGATATTCAACTGGTCTTACGAGAGGCCAGTTTTTTTGCTTCTTTAATCAGCATTTTGCTAACAAAATCTCAAAAGGTTTTTCTAATGCTCAATTAGACTTTTTAAATGATAAACTTGGATTAGCAAACACCATTGGAACACAGGACAGATGACTGGCGATAATTGTCCTGTAGATATTCCATTGAAAATCGGCTAAGCTAAAATAGTCATTTACAACATTAACAACGTCTTCACTGTTTTTCTGATCAAATTGATGTATTTTAATGAACAAAAAATCTGCTTCTCTTGAAAACAAGGACTTATCTAAGTGACCCCAAATTTTTGGACACTAGTGCGGGTGTGTGTCTGTGTGTGTATATATAGATTTATATTGATATGTACTTCAGAAGCATAAATAATAAAAAATTATCAAAGGTTACCTTTATAATTTAATTGCGTAATAAAGCATGCCATAATGGTTTCATTTACGTGTTTAGAGGTAAAGAATAGTTAGTCTTTGAACTTGGGCTGGGTTTGGCTATTAAGGTGTTGCTATTCAAGAAGTGATTAAATAGTGGAGATCAAATCTTAAAGAATAAATAGTTTGCCCATAGACTTGTCGCACAATATCCACTATAATGAGCTGTAGTAGTTATGGTTTTAGAGTGCCCCGTTAAGATAATTTCATGTGAAACCCTCCTAGAGCACGTACAGTTTATAACACACAGGTAGTGCAGAGCATAAAGACAAAAATATAGTAGCCCTACTGAAATTAAAGGTCCTTTGGTCACACATTATTATTTGGATGAGCCTCGAGTGGTACATGCTTTGGTCCACATTTTATGGACAGCACCCAACCTCAATTTGGGTATACTTTACTTCCACAGATCATAGGTGCATCAATGTAAAATCCATGATAAAATCACATAAATCAATGGCAGTGTTACATAAAAAATGGAAATATCTGACTATATTCCAAAATCATTCAAAAACATTTGTATAAACACTAATGATGAAGAAAGATCCACAATATATTCCCAAAAAGGAAAGAAATAGTGGAGAAAAATCACTAATCCCTGAATTGGGCACTCTCTTTACTGTTACACTTAGCCATCAGTCTGCACTACTTCTGCACTTTTTTATGATTGACATCTTTTTTTTTTTTATCCACTATTTGTAATTTTTCAATAAAGGTTTTTTCAATAAGTGTACATTATTATCCTTCTATACTTTCTGGATCTCATGTCCAGTTTCTGTTTTCTCTCATTTAGCTATTTTTATAAACACATTTTTTAATAGCTAAGTTTCCCCAAATAAGGTTTATTATAAAAGTAGACATTTATGTTGCAACTCATATACTTTGCACACTCATAAAATGATGGGCATGTCTGATTAATTTTTCTATAATAAAATGTACTTTGTGTATTTGCAGAATATAAGTTCAGCAAGTGAAACAGTCCCCGTTATTTTTGATAATAACTATAAACATGGTTCCTGTGGGATATTGCACAAGGATTTCAGCAGCAACACTATTTCTCTAAATCGGACAAATGAAGCTTGGTTGAACAGCAATTTGGACAATGTAAATAAATTACCAAAAGATAAACACGCTATGGCTCCCAAGTTATCATCAAAGAGAAATAAAAAAGTGGACACAATGTTAATGGTGGATACAAAAGTCAATATTCACTTTCTATCAGCTGATGGGACAACGCAAGTTGCAGAAGTTACTAAAGATGGAAAAATGTCTATGCCAAAAAAATCAAACTTTCGAAATCCCAGTGTAGTTACTTCAGAGGAACTACAATCATCCTCAAAGTCCACCAGTACTCATGAGATGAAACAGGAGACTGATGAGGTCGGCCCTATCATAAACGGTGTGAACCCCAGAAAAGGTGCAGTTGAGGAATTATCTTTATATACAAGACCGGCTCCATCATCAAGGTCGATTTGTTCCAATCGTTCAAAGTCATCAACGAGGTCAAAGATTCAAAGACCTATTAGTGAGGGTGAAGTCGGAAAATGGAGCTATATATCGATAACGAAGACATTAACACCTGGAGGATGTCCTCTGAGCTCTTCCCCGAGATACAAATCTTCTCCAGTAACTTCTCCAAAGATCGCTGGTGGTCTGGAGAAGAATATTCCTAACGGGCTGAACTCAACAGTGCCTCTTACAACAAAATCGGTACTATTCAAAAACAGGAGAGAGAGACTTATATCCATTCTGCCAGAAATTATTTCCCAGCATAAACACCCGAGTGTGCAGAGGACGAAAGAAACAAAGCAGTTTCACAATAAAGTAAAGACAGGACAAGAGCAATTTATCAGTACGGAATTCGCCAATGTCCAAGATGCACCTACGTTATCAGTGGTGGTTACACCATCCTCTGATGCTAAAATTCCATTAAATGCATTTAGTAAGAAAGAATCTGAAGTCATCTCCATCACCTCAGTGTATCCTGATGCCTTCCCGGTCATCAATATTCCTACGGCACATACAGATGCAACAGAATGAAACGTCTTATCAAATTTGTTTTCCAAATGTTATAAAAAATAGGCCCACAATATTTTTTTCTTCTTAAATTCTTTCGAGAATTGCATTTCTTCTTACTTAATAATCTTTCCCATACTTTATGAAACATGTGCGACAAATTTTACATGTATATTTTCTTCTGTGTTTTGGATCAGTTATTTTTTTATTTTGCAAGGTGCTAAAATGTTAGCTATCATACAGGGGAGAATGAACTAAAATAATAAAGAGCCAATTGTTCCTTAAACAACACAGGGTGATATACACACTCCTTTATTTTAGGAGTCCAGGGATGTGTACAAGCATTTGTAATGACTTACGACGAGGTATAATGATAATATTTAAACATACAAGGTCAAAATGTGTTGCCCTTTTCTTTGGAAAGAAAACGTGCTTATTCACATTAAGTCAATATATGAGAAGTGAAGTAGTACGGTCATGCAGATTGACAATAGACATGTAATATAAACTAGAGGTAAATAAAAGTAAACATGCTGAACAAATGAGCAACTTAATTTAGCTTTTGTTAAATTCCACTGGGCATGAATACAAACGAGGGAAAAACAGGTAGCTTGCATCCCTGCCCACATTAAGTTGCATAGCGCTGTTCCTAAGCTCCACCTATGCCCTTCATGGTTTTTACTGTATAAGAGTTTGCACGAGAGTCCCACTTATCTATAGCCCGCCAACCCTGGCTCAAAGCAAAGTCCAGTGTACCAATGCTGATAAACTCTTGCCGTGCCAGTAGCCAGGCTTGATCTCGGAGCCCATTGTCAGGGTTCTGGTTTGTGCATCGTGTAAGGGCATTCTGACAGTGTGAGCGGCGTGTATGGAGGTGTCACCAGGGGAACTGTGGCCCAGGAGGGTATTGGTTTACCGTTGGACCAGGCTGGTGTCGTTGGAGCAGGGCTCGGGGCTTCTGTCTTCGTTTTACCTTTTTTTGCTTTGCGTCAGGTCCCGGCTTGGTTTTACCTCGTGGTGGATTTGGCACAGCTGTGGCAATAGATTCGACCAGTACAGTACATATTAGCAAGTACATTTTCTACTATAAAATACATGCTTACAGATAGAAACAGGTCTGCCTTGTGTTTTCTCTACAGGTCCTTACTCTCAACCAAAATACAAAAGTATGGGAGGCGGGCCCTGACTCTCAACATGGCCAGACGTGTTCTCTAGGAGCTCCTGCCATCAACTGCTCTAAATCAGCTTAAACTGCATTAATCCTACTGCAAGCAGCACACAATCAAGAGCAGATTGCGTCAATATTGAAGCAGACGAAAGGGGTCCTAAAATAATAATTTTGAGCACCCACAGAAACCGGAGACCGGCAGTGCGGCCTAATCCGCAGGGAGACAAGCAGGGAAGCTGCAAGAGAGACGGCCGCTCTCTCGCGGTCACACCAAGCGACAACCTCAGCAAGGGTCCCCATTCCCCCCCCTTTGGACTGGGGGTTATCCCGGTCCCCACCAACCCAGGGCACACAGCACTATAAGCCCCGGTTGCACCACACAGCTTGGAAGACAAGGCCAGTAGGCCACACAAGATTGCGCCCGAATCCATGTGGCAGAAGCCCGTGCCAATACAACATGGCACTAACCCAGTGGATTACTACCCCAAGAGACTGGACAGTATCTTCCAGAGGTTCTGGGAGCGTTTGGAGCAACGCAGCAGACAGAAGCAGTCTGGTCCTGTGAAAGTTGTGGAGAGGGACGCGGAACGGGGTAAGAGGAAGCCTCCATCCTGTAGACCCCACCGAGCGGCTGACACAGTTCCCCCCAAAAATCCTCCCTGGCCGAAGGCCACCCAGAGAAAGCCTCCATGGCACCGACCACACCGCCGGAACCCTGACCGTTGCTGGCGATGGCGGACTACCCACGGCGCCCGAAAGAGGGAAGACACGGCCTCAGACACGAGCCACCGAGTCTGTGGATCGCAGGTGCTGGCCTTCACACCGGCCAGGGGCCAGAGAGCTCCCTCTATCTACATACACCTCACCGTCCTCCTGCAGACTCTACTGGTTCGGGATGTATGTGTGTGTGTATGTATGTCCTTATGTCTGTGTGTCACTATGTATGTCTGTACATACATATTTCAAACTGAGGAAGAGATAAATTCCACCCAAATATATTTTCCTTATATTAACAACCAGTTTTAAGCATGATTCCTTCAGTAGACATAAGATGAAATTTAAAACACGGTAACTGAAAAATAAATGAATCGAAAAATAAATCCAAGGTCATTACTTGTCAAGTGGTTTACTTGTTAAACAGCTATCAGTTAGGCATTTTAAAAACACCAAGCATTTGCTCAATACACACCGATGTTCTAAAAATTAAGTTTTAATTGCATAAACTCCTCTGATATTGCATCAGCACTGCTGTCCGTGACTACATAGCTATAAAACCCTACTACCATTTTAGGAGATATGAAATTGGGATAGAATGTTGCAAGAAGGGGTTGGGATTGAAGGGCTGGCAATTTTTGACCTGAGAGACTAGAGGCATGAATGTGTATCTGTGTCAATAGGTCCCCCCCATTTTCATTTATGGCCCCCACCCGCCGCGCTTGGGCCGGGGGGGAGGACAATAGGTCACAGGCTGCTCATTGTTTAGTAGACATGTCCGTACTCACGGCAAAGCGAGTAGGGGCATTCAGGAGATTTCAATCTCTGATATGCTTATATGGGGGTCATATTGACCCCCATAGAGTGAGGTAGGACATGGGGGGGGGCTTAGGAAGTGGCGGGGAGCACTTCTCCCTGCCTCTTCTTTTTTTACATTTTACAATGAGGGAGCTGCGCGCCGGTACCTCCATCCTTGTAATAAACTCCCTCCTTGTAATAAACTGAACGAACAAGCGAAAACCGATATTAGGTGTTTGTTTGTTCGTCTTACATTTCTATTCATTCCTTTGTCTCTCTGACAAATGAATAAATAGACGAAAGTCCCGTTCAAATGCCCAGGTGTTTAACTGGGGCTGTGCAGGAATTTCACAGCACTATCTAGTGTGGGCAGATGATGTGTTCCACAGGCACCTTATCTACCCAGACAAAGATGTCGGCGTCCAGGACCTAGGTCCGGGCACAAGATAAAGTTTAAAAAAGAGGATATATAGGGGGCTTAGAGGCATTTGGGGGCGATTAGGGGGACAGTTAGATGTAGTAGAGTCGGGAGGGGGGTTAAAAAAAAAACAGATTCGGCCATGACAGGGCAGCTTTACGTGAGGATTGTTTGGAATTTAAATGGAATTTCAAGTTTTAGACTAAAATAGTTGCCGACAAACATAGCTGACATGGGATTTTTCTCCAATTCAACTATTTTGGCCTTCAATTTAAATTTCACTTTGATTCACTTTGAATTCCTGACAATTCCCTGTTTGAATTCCTGACATTTCTATCCCCTATAGGTGTAATTCCCACAGCACACAAACCAAATAAATTTACCATTATCTAGAAGCTCTATCTAGAGATTGCGAGGAAGGTAAATCCAGAAGGTAGTTTACCGGTAGCGGTTGCCTAAAGGCTCGTGTTTACTAGAAATGTCTACTCTGACTGCAAATATGTGAAATTCTTTCTCTAGTCATATTTTAAAGGGAAACTATAGACTAGGAATACAGAATTGCATTCCTAGCCTATAGTGCCCTCCTCGCACGTGCCCCCGCACTCCACAGCGCAGAAAGAGTTAAAAACGCTCTTGTTAGTAAGCTGAATGCAGGGTCGATGTCCCTCCAATTCGCTCCTCCCCCGACCGACGTCACGGACCTAATGCGCGGCGAGCGTTGCAGTTGAATTAGTACATCCCCATAGGAAAGCATTGAATGTTTACGCAGACGATGGATGCCGTCATGTATAGCGTGAGGGCATCCAGCGGTCAGTCAGGCGACCAAAAGTTGCCCAAGCGGCCTGAAGTCTCTGGAGTGGCTGTCTGGTAGACGCGAGAGGTGGAGCTAACTCTGCAATGTAATTACTGCGCTGCCGAATATGTTGGTGCTATATAAATAATAATATAATAATAACATAATAATATAATAATAATAACATAATAATAATATGATAATAATAATAATAATAAAATAATAATAACATAATAATAATAATAATAACATAGTAATAATAATAATAATAACATAATAATATAATAATAATAATAACATAATAAAAAAAAAATAATAATAATATAATAACAATATCATAATAATAACGTAATAATAATAACATAATAATATTAATAATATAATAATAATAATAACATAATAATAATAATATAATAATGATAATAATAATAATATAATAATAACATAATAATATTAATAATATAATAATAATAACATAATAATATTAATAATATAATAATAATAATAACATAATAATATTAATAATAATATAATAATGATAATAATAATATAATAATAACATAATAATAATAATAATATAATAATAATAACAATATAATAATAATATAATAATAATAATAATATAATAATATAATAATAATAATCTGACGGTGCCGTCATGGAGCTGTAGTGTCCCTGTATATATTTCCATTTCCCTGTGTGGTGTTTGGGTTTTATTTGCTGAGGGGGACACAGTGAGCTCTCTCCCTCCTGACTCATTCCTGTCACTCATTCCTGTCACTCAGTCACTCAGTTATTGTATCCCTGCTCTGACTGGGTTATTACATTTCACATTTAAGGACAAACTAGCCGATCAGGAAACATTCTCTAAGCCAGCTCTGCTACCAGCGCGGCTACTCTGGCCTTTAACGTGAAATTCCCACAATGCGGTTAGGAAGGAGTTAAAACAATAACTAGCATCTAGCCCCGCCCACCGCAGCTTAGACTCCTCCCCGACCCCGCCTCCTGGCTAGCCAGCCACGCCCCTCCACGTACAGACTTTGCCCCTGGTAGCGCCCCGCCCCTATTGATAGTAGCTCCACCCCCTGGCTGTCATGACGGAAGTGCTCAGACGTCAGCATGCCCGGGCTCCAGTTGCAGCCTCTCCGCGGCCCCCAGCTCCCAGTGATGAGGGGATGGCGGCCGAAACGATGACCGTGTTCATCAAGCTGCTGGCGGCCGTCTTCTACGGGGTCAGCTCGTTCCTCATCGTGGTGGTGAACAAGAGCGTCCTGACCAGCCGCAGGTAACGGGGAGGACGGGGGCAAAGTGCGGGCTGGAGGGAGGGGGAGGAGGGGGGAGAGAGCTGGGCATAGAGCCCGCTGCTATCAATCAGTCAGTGTGTGGAGCTCTGTGATATCAGTCAGCCAGTGTGTGGAGCTCTGTGACATCAGTCAGCCAGTGTGTGGAGCTCTGTGATATCAGTCAGTCACTGTGTGGAGCTCTGTGATATCAGTCAGTCACTGTGTGGAGCTCTGTGACATCAGTCAGTGTGTGGAGCTCTGTGATATCAATCAGTGTGTGGAGCTCTGTGACGTCAGTCAGTGTGTGGAGCTCTGTGATGTCAGTCAGTGTGTGGAGCTCTGTGATATCAGTCAGTCAGTGTGTGGAGCTCTGTGATATCAATCAGTCAGTGTGTGGAGCTCTGTGACATCAGTCAGTGTGTGGAGCTCTGTGATATCAATCAGTCAGTGTGTGGAGCTCTGTGATATCAATCAGTGTGTGGAGCTCTGTGATATCAATCAATCAGTGTGTGGAGCTCTGTGATATCAATCAGTCAGTGTGTGGAGCTCTGTGATATCAATCAGTCAGTGTGTGGAGCTCTGTGATATCAATCAGTGTGTGGAGCTCTGTGATATCAGTCAGTCACTGTGTGGAGCTCTGTGATATCAATCAGTCAGTGTGTGGAGCTCTGTGACATCAGTCAGTGTGTGGAGCTCTGTGACATCAGTCAGTCAGTGTGTGGAGCTCTGTGACATCAGTCAGTCAGTGTGTGGAGCTCTGTGACATCAATCAGTCAGTGTGTGGAGCTCTGTGACATCAATCAGTCAGTGTGTGGAGCTCTGTGACATCAATCAGTCAGTGTGTGGAGCTCTGTGATGTCAGTCAGTGTGTGGAGCTCTGTGATGTCAGTCAGTGTGTGGAGCTCTGTGACGTCAGTCAGTGTGTGGAGCTCTGTGACGTCAGTCAGTGTGTGGAGCTCTGTGACGTCACAGAGCTCCACACACTGACTGATTGTGGAACTCTGTGCTATCAGTCAGTGTGTGGAGCTCTGTGCGATGTTCTGCTGAATGAATGGAATCCTCTATAATCAGTGTTTGGAGCTCTGCTGAATCTATTAAGAACTCTGTATTCAGTGTGTGAAGCACTGCTATATGTATGGAGCTCTCTGTGATCAGTGTTTGGAGCTATGCTGGGTGTATGGAGCTCACTGTATTCAGTGCTTGGAGCTTTTATAAATGTATGGATCTATCTATATTCAGTGCATGGAGTTCTTTGTATTCAATGTATGGAGCTATGCTGAATGTATGGTACACACACTATTCAGTGCATGGAGCGCTTTAGTATGTATGAAGCTCTGCTAAATGTATGGCGTTCTACTTAACTCCACTGTACCAACGGCTTGGAGCCCACTGTACTGAATGCGAGGAGCTCTGCTGAATTCTCGGAGCCCATTGTACTGAATGCGTGGAGCTCTGATGAAATCTCGGGGCCCACTGTACTGAGTGCGTGGAGCTTTGCTGAAATCTCGGGGCCCACTGCACTGAGTGCGTGGAGCTTTGCTGAAATCTCTGAACCCACTGTACTGAGTGCGTGGAGCTTTGCTGAAATCTCTTAGCCCACTGTACTGAGTGCGTGGAGCTTTGCTGAAATCTCTTAGCCCACTGTACTGAGTGCTTGGAGCTTTGCTGAAATCTCTTAGCCCACTGTACTGAGTGCGTGGAGCTTTGCTGAAATCTCTTAGCCCACTGTACTGAGTGCGTGGAGCTTTGCTGAAATCTCTGAGCCCACTGTACTGAGTGCGTGGAGCTTTGCT